CATAACTTCCACGGGTCGCTGAGTTCAGGTTCGGTCAGATCTCTAGAATCCCATAATATGTGTCGGTATAGTCGGTCATTACGAATACAGTAATATGGAAATGCCTTGGGATTATTTTCCACTTCTTATGCCAAAAACACTCTGATACTCCCTCTAGAGTACATAGTTCGGCGGCATCCCCGGTTGAGGGATCGGATAGGGGTTGTCGTGATAATGCATCAGCAACCCGATTTAAAGTTCCTCTGCGGTACTGGATGTCGAAGTCATATTGTTATTGTAAAAATATGCTCCATCTTGGTAAACGGCCATCCGGACTTTAAACGGAGCGAAGCTAACGGAGTGATAATTTTTTTCGGCAGAGTTGAGGGTACAGCTAGCATATGCCAAGAAATGTTCGGTTCCCTCATCGTTTTGAGTCAAGACCACCCCTAAGCCAATATTGGAAGCATCTATGATACTATTACTAGAGAAGATGAGCCCACGCGTCGATTATTTTACCGACCTCTCGCTTTCTGACGTCATTGCGTGACAAATTCAACTGCAGATGTTTGCATTTATGTGGCGGATGATCTTGTATTCGTATTTCGTTGTAAACTTTATAATGTATAGTATATGTACATAGACCTTATTACTATAAGGTACATATACTCATATCATAGACTTTATAAACTGTTTATAAAGTCTATGATACTTATATTTTGGTGTTTAACTTTTAATTGACATTTTATAATATTAATATTATGGTGTAGGTACTGTGTAGCGGTAGGATGTTCTAGTAATAGTCCGGGAGCAAGCGACAGAAATTTTGCACCAATTTCTACAAAACTGATTTTTTCTCATTTTGTTGTTTTAACATTAGTAACAATGTTTGAAACATGTAAATAAATAATACGTAAATGTCTTATACCTACAAGTGTGAAACTTTTTAGAGTGATCAATTATACCTAAAAATAAAGTTAACTTTTGTTAATTATTTCTACAAGGCTGAATTTTTTTTCTCAAATACTTTAGATTATAATAGAACCAAAGAAAACAGCCTACCGATCATCTAAGGGTGTAAAGCCTTGATAGATGCAGTGGAATGCACGATCTCCAGAGGGCAGTCGCTGCGCCAATCCGCTGTAAATCGCTCTGAATAATTATTAATTAGTCATGTCGGGATTAAATTAAAATCTACAAAGCTGTTTTTTTGTCTATAAGTAGTTTACGATAATAATTATCGTCAAATAAACGTTTTCTACCTTCGATACAAATTGCTAAAGTTTCGGTAGACATGGCTAAAATTTTTGCGCGCGAGGTTGTTTAAAATTGCTAACTTAAATAATTATAATTTTTTTAGCTGCACCATTATTAAAACGTACGATTTTAATAATAACAAGCGACCGTTAGCAAGCGAGATTTTTGCTATTATAAAATTAGTAAAAATTGAAAATACATTTTTTTTCAAATGACTGACCTTTTTCTTTTTTAACGTTGGATAATTAAATTTATTTCTCTTTTACTTATAATTTATATCCATGACGCTTACCAAAGCCACACTGGTGAACAACTAGCACGAGGGTTGTCGACTTTGGATTAGCAGTAAATACTAATTGGTACAAAAAAAAAACATAATATGCTGAAACCTGATAATTTACAATAAAATTGAAAAAAACTTGAAACTGGAGTTATGTAACTTGAAGTGTTCTGAAGATACTACAAAGTACTAAGAAAAAAATTATCAATAACTATGAAAAAACAAATAGATAACATTTTGCCTTTTTGTTTGCCAATTTAGTACAATTCACTAATGGTAGTTTGGTTTGCGTTTATTTTAAGGATTTAGATTTAACTGATAAAACGACTAACCTTAAAACCGATATAAAAGTAAGGAAATAATCTGGTGACACAACGGAAAGGAATATAATACAATCATAGATAGAACGGTACGCCAAGGAACTTTAAAAAGAAAGCAAATTACTGCCAAGTTAACTTTTGTTTTGCTAATTTTTCACGATCAGGATTGTGGCAGAATTTTCATGATTTTCGATAATAAGGTAACAAGGAAATACTAGAACATATTGTTGAAACAAATAGTGTTGCTCAAACACTTTCACTTTACGATTTTATTTTTGAATTTACAAAGAAGGAACAAATTACATACATATGCTATGAACGTTATTGTCTCTCTGTTTATCGCTTATCTACACCGCGCAGGGCACGGCTCTGTCGGGATACCAACCGTTACAAAGAGGCAAACCTTTTGGCAATAAACTAACTAACATGCCCCCGACCATGAAAGACTCTGCCTTTCAAAGATATAAAGTACAATATATAAAGAAAACATGATGGTATGTAAACAAATGCAACAAAACAATGTTTGTAAATCTATAAAGCTATTCAAAAGTTTTACTGCTTTCAGTTTCTAAAGGTAAGACACATAATTTATTAACTGGACGCTTTATTTCACTGTTAACGGTTTTTATTGTTGCCACTCTAATCACACCGTCACTACCTGGATGTGTTTGCACTACCCTTCCTAGAGGCCATGCTAGTGGAGGAGTATCTTCGTTTCTTATAAGTACCATGTCCCCTGGTTTGACGCTTGGCTGGTCAAGTTTTTTANATTTAGTACAATTCACTAATGGTAGTTTGGTTTGCGTTTATTTTAAGGATTTAGATTTAACTGATAAAACGACTAACCTTAAAACCGATATAAAAATAAGGAAATAATCTGGTGACACAACGGAAAGGAATATACGAGTAGAACAATCATAGATAGAAGAACGGAACGCCAAGGAACTTTAAAAAGAGAGCAAATTACTGCCAAGTTAACTTTTGTTTTGCTAATTTTTCACGATCAGGATTGTGGCAGAATTTTCATGATTTTCGAAGATAACAAGGAAATACTAGAACATATACTAGTTTAAAATTGAAAATACTAAATACTATACACTAAATTCAAAAGATCAAGAAGAGATGAAACCCCGGAATGACCGAAGCCGAGACAAACATATTTTTGGGAGTAGGTATAAAATCTTTTGAATACCCTGAAAGTGATCAGACACAGCAACCCGTTGATCCACAGAGGCTGCCGGCAGTTGCAAACGGCTTAGACATCAACTTCTGGACGCAGGGTAAGTCGAAATTTTTCTGTCTGTTTCAGGACCGCCAGGATCAAGAACCGAAAACGACGACATACACACACACATCTCCCTCCTACTTTCCCTACCTCTCTCCCCTCCCGCGTTAGCTTAATGGCCACCTTAACACAGTGCTTCATAAGCTAAAAAGAAAGGGCCCTTTCCGGCTGGACCAAGCCAGGACAGGAAAAGTCTCCACGAATTAATCGGCGGTCCGAGATGACGAGGGAAGGGCCTATATCTACGAGGTGTCCGGGCCTACAGCGAAGAAGTGGATAACGATCTATAATCCCGCTCGACCCCGCTCCATCTGAGGTCACATATCCAGCCAAGGATATTGGCACGCCTTTTGAATAGCCAACCAATATTCGCCGAGCCCGAATAACAGTAACTTACTGTACTTTTCGTCATTCAGTTTACTTCCAAATTGTTTAAAATTAATAATAAAATCACCGAGATTATNTGAGCTTCTATGCTATGAGTCTCAGCATTGCATAATCCCGATGTTCCGGATTCAGAATTAAGAGATACATTATATTGCGGTCTGTCGCTAACAGAAGATGCAAGATAATCTTGCTCTGTGAAAATATTTGAGTTAAGTGGCTCTATTCCACTTTTTTGAAAACCTTTCATTATGTTAGATGGGGTGAATGCTAGAGGAAATGCTTTACCCACATTTTCTGATACATCGTAAATCGTTACCCTTGGAATATTATCTGGTCTTCCTGAAAAACTGCTTATAAACTCATTGCATGCCTTATTATAATATGCTTTCAGTGGCCCAAATACAGTCAGGTCCAGCGGCTGCATTTTATGGCTGCAATGAGGCGAGAAAGTTAAGAGAACTATTCCTTTTTCTTTGGCAAAATTTAGAGCTTTAATACTGCAGTGACTTTCATGATTATCAAGTATTATTAGTTTTGGGTTTTCTGGAGTGGGTCTTTCATGGGTAACAAAATGTTGTAAGATTAAAAGGAAAATGTCTCCGTTGGTCCATCCAAAATCACTTGCCGCCCCTGCAGAACCAGGTGGTGCACCTTTCAAAAAGTGATCTTTGAAGTGTTTTCTTGGGAATATTAAAAACGGCGGTAAAGCCTTTCCAGTAGCGCACACAATACCCACTAGAGTTACTAATCTCTCTGCGCTAGTCACCTGTCCTACTTGTTTTTTCCAGGTGCCAAAACCTTTGGAGGTTTATGTACAGTCATTGTTTTATTAGTTTGTAGTGGACTGTATTTTACATTATTTTCTTACGTTGTTCTTGATGTACACAAATAATTTGCTTGTTTGAATAAAACTTTATTGGAACTGAACAGATACAACTACATAGCTTGGCTCGCACAATCGCACTGCTTCATCGCAGGAGTAGAGAGAACGGGACGGGGCATATCCCCACTATTCAGGGTTGCCAACTAGTGGCATAACCTAACAAATTTGAAATTACTAAAAACTAAACATCCTCCCGGCCTTGAAAGGTCTTGGGACTTTCGAAATACATGTAAAATCTACTGTAAAATTTACGAGCTCAGAGAAAAATTGTCAATGCTCAATCGTGACACATAAGCACTTAGGTAAAGATATGAATACCTCACTAATCACCTTTATCACTGTCATCACTCAACACACAGGCAGCGGACAGATTTTTGCAAAGGAACGCTTGATGGATCCGGATGAGGTCTGGATTGTGGCTACCCTAGCCACGCCGTCGGTTCCTGGATGTAGTTTGATGACGCGACCTAGCATCCATTTTAGTGGTGGCTGGTTGTCGTCTTTGATGAGCACGAGGTCATTCAGCCTGAGAGCTCCATGCTGTGTACGCCATTTGCAGCGAATCTGTAACTCTGAAACATATTCACGCGCCCATCTTGTCCAAAAGTGTTACTGCAACTGCTGGATTCGCTGGAAATGTGATAGTCTGTTCATGGGAACGTCTGTCAAGTCTAGTTGTGCTAGTTGTACTATAGACCTTCCAATTAAGAAGTGAGAGGGGGTAAGAGCCGAAAAATCGGAAGGGTCATTGGAAAGGGGGGACATAGGACGGGAGTTTAATACAGCCTCGATCTGCACAAGCAGCGTATAAAATTCTTCGAAACTTAATCTCGCATTACCAGCCACGCGCTGTAAGTGGTATTTGGTTGACTGCACTCCGGCCACCCAGAGTCCTCCAAACTGAGGGGAACAAGCAGGTATAAACGACCAAGAGATATACTCATTCTCAATTGACCTTGTTAGTTTATGAGCGTTTTCTTCTAAGAAAAGTTTTAGCTTGGCGCTTGCGCCGACGTAATTTTTTCCATTGTTAGAAAACGTTTGAGCCGGATTGCCTCTGCGCCCGATAAATCTCCTAAACGATGCTAGAAACGCTTCAGTTGTGAGGTCTGAAACCAACTCCAGATGTACCGCACGTGTTGAAAAACAAACGAATAAACTAATATAGCATTTCTTTAATTTATAACCTCTACCATCCTTATCTTTTATTAAAAAGGGTCCCGCGTAATCTACCCCGGTAGTATAGAAAGGAGGTGCAGGATTCAGTCTTTCAGCTGGTAAATTTCCCATGATGGAGCAATTTCACGTGGTTTTGCCCTAAAACAAATAATACAGTCGTGTACGACCTTTCAAGGCAAATTACGCTCCGCCAAGGGCCAAAATTGATCTCTAATTGACGAAAGTAATATGTAGTAAATTTTTGTGTTCTCTTGTGAATAATAACCTTGTAAAATGGCTTTCCGAGGACAATAAAATAGGGTGTTTTTTACTAAAATTGAAATTCGAATTTGACAATCTTCCGCCAACACGTATTACGTCGTTATTGTCTAGGAAAGGATTTAATTTAGCGCTTTGACACTTTAGATTGACGTGTCCGTTAGTACGTAACGATTCGAGCTCCCTTGCAAAATTTCGTGTTGTGAAAGTTTTACAAGATATGAAGTCGCAGTTTTGATTTCTTGTGTTGTTAATGGACCAAAATTTCTGCTATTTTTTGGCTTACGGCAATTTGAACAAAATCATTGGCAATAAGCTAACGTTCTTTCCAATCTCGTTAAGTTAGAAAATTGTTCAAATGTTACAATGGGTAATTCTGTTGATACACTATACGAATGTGTGTCCTTTTTTACTTCAGGTAAATCACTTTCGCAAATTTGTGAATTTGGGAAAGGAAAGGCATTTTCCTTTAGCCATTCAGGGCCGTAGCAATATATATCGAGTGATTGTAAATTACTAGGTTTAACACCGCGAGAAATATAATCTGCAGGATTATCCGACGTGGGCACATATCGCCATTGAACGTCTTTAGCCAATTCTTGTATTAATGTTATTCTGTTTGTGACAAAAATTTATATATATCGAGAGCCGATATTACTTTATTTCCTAATTTGGCCAAAAGTAACGCTGCCATTAATTCTAAGCGAGGAATTGTTTGTGTTTTTAGTGCAGCAACCCTTGATTTTGCGTTTAATATTCGTAATGAAGCTTCACCGTTTTGTGTTTCTACCCTTACGTAAATACATACACCAATCGCGTGCATGGATGCGTCCGAAAATCCATGCATGTCAATTCTTGCGGGATTTGTACAGGTAACTTGTCGAGGAATTTTTATGTTTTCTAGACATTTTAATTCATCGCGAAATTGTAACCATTTCGTGTGCAAATGACTTGGAAGCGATTCGTCCCAAGACAATTTTTCTGACCATAACTGCTGCAGAATGATTTTTGCCGGGGTTGTACAAGGGCTCAAAAGTCTCCTGTGTACACCTGTTGCTCACAATGCTTGTCCAGTGGGCCGCGGCGTTGTTGGCTTTGCTATGGCTTCTCGAGTTGAGCGACTGCACTGACTCACTATTCGTGTACCGGTTTGGCGTTGTTTTTAATTTTTTCGATGTGTGGGTACGCTGGGCATCCGCGAGAAGGGCCAATGTTTTATTAGTTTGTAGTGGACTGTATTTTNCCAGTCGTGGTGGGACCTCCACGTGACCAACGGCTTGTCAGAGTGGGGTATCGGCCGGTCGGACCCGCGAGTGGATATTTGATATATATGTAGAAAAATCAATAATTCTCGCCGCTGGGGTAAAATAATCCGAAATAAAATAAATACTTTTAAATTCAGACCTAATAAAAATCAAAATTGAAACAGGTTCATTACAAGACTATCATTATACTGTATTTTTAGGTATAATTGATCACTCTAAAAAGTTTCACACTTGTAGGTACAAGACATTTTTGTATTATTTATTCAAATGTTTCAAACATTGTTACTAATGTTTGCCTCCACATTGGCGCGGTAGACTGCCATTCCGTTTACTTGCGATATCAAAACAACAAAATGAGAAAAACTAAGCTTTGTAGGAATAATTACATCAATAGTGTCGCTGCCCCCGGGCTATAATAATAACAAAAAAGGGCAAACATGTTTCAAAATGTATTTTCTCTACATTTTCAAAAGACAACCAAATATGTGAAACATGTTTCATAGGTGCGTGCCATCAGCAGTATAATTTCAATGTTAAAATGGTGAGAATATGTTCTGAACATTTTTTGGACACTGATTACAGTATGCAAGAAAAAATGTTAAATTTGCCTTTCGATAAATGGAAATTGAAATCTGATGCTGTGCCTTCTCTCAACATAATTAAATCATCAAATACTAAACGAAATAAGAGAATGAAAAAGAGACGTTTGCTGAAGTATATTATTGGTCCGTAAGTATATTGTAATTTTTTTTATAAAAAGAATCGAAATTATTTAATACCTACTTAGGATACTTTTATTTTTAGCAATCGTAAACAAGAACTATCACATTCGGTTTCAATAGAAGTAGGTGATGGGAATTCTGCAGATATTTTTAAAGATAAAGTAGAGACATTGCTACACAAATTACAAGGTAGGTTATACAGTATCTTTTACCTCTGTGTTAGCATTGTTAACAATGTTTTTTTTTCAGTCGATTCATCAGGTAAAAATTCTCGAAAATGAAAATGAATAATTAAAGGAATTTATATTTACACAGAAGTAAACAACTGTCTCTAAACAGTATTTAAATAAAAAATAACAGTCCCTAAATAGTATTTACATAAAAGAAAACAACGGTCCCTGCTCGGGCGCCAATTTTTGTAACGTTATTCGTCGGACGGACGACCCCGGTGGTACACTACCAACTGTAAACAGAATGTTAATTTGCAATTTGAATTTTAATTGACAATATTTATAGGCGTCACTGACGTCCGTGATAGGGCGCCTAACTTTGTGACGTCCCTTGACTACTAGAAAGATGTCGGTGGCGCGGCGGTGTTCGACAGCCGATGGCATGGCGGTGAGTGACGTTACAGGAACGTACTCCGGATTCTATTCTTTTAATTCGGTTAGTCCCGGGCGCCAGTTTCCCGATCATTTATGTGGGGGGAAACTCCACGTGAACCTTACCCTCGTTTAGAGTAAGTACTCGGGTAGCCACAGTGAAGAAAGTTTAATTTCAGAGGTCTATTATATTTCCTTTATTGTAACAATACATAAAAGTAGTTCTCTGAGTGTAGTGTTATTTTACTTTTTAAATGAACAGAATTATCAGTGAAAATCGCAAAAAGAGACAAAGACTTTTTACTGATCGGAATTATGTCAATCTTATTCGTGTTTAAAAATGTCATCAAGTTCTTGTTGAAATTCTCTTTTAGGTAAACTTGTAAGCCACTTTTCCTACCCATCATCACGCTGGCATTATCTACCCCAAAACCAACCATGTGGTGTGAATAAATTTTTTTGATTGTTCACAGATTTTGAATAACTTCAGATAAACCCTGTGCTGTGCTATTTTCTACTTTTTCAAGTCCAAGAAACCTGTAAGATTGATATTCTCACAAATATAGAAAACAAATAGTATAAATTGTTACCTGTCACATACTTTCAAACCATACGACGTCTAAACATTTTTGTGTGCTAACGTTAGTACTTTCGTCAGCAATTATTAATGAGTAAAATTTGGAAATTGATAAATGTTGAGTCAAATCTCTCACACTTTCAGCTGCAAGTTCTTTCTTAGGTTTGTGGGTTTTGTTCTACCACACTTCAGATCTCTTGCTATATCTGAATCTGTACATACAGATTTGATTAATTTTGGCAGGTGATCTATTAATAAAAAAGGTGAAATTAAATGATCCATAAAGATTATGTCCATTGTGTAATAGGTGCTGGAGAAACTCCAATACCTGCTGTGTGGAACCTTCCCAGGGACAGCAATTTTTCGATTGGCAAAAGTCCCACCATATGTGGTATTGTACTGTTTCAACGTCCCTTCAGCTATCGATTTAATTAAAATATTCACCACCTGTTCCGACAAACCTTGCCTAAAAAAGTTTGCCTGATAAAACTGCTGCCACCAGGATAAGCTTCTGAGAAAGAAGGTGGCTCTCCTGGCTGTAAGGAGAAAGCAACAGATCAGGGCGAGGATAAAAAATGTAAGGCCTCCTTGCTATCATTTCTTCGAAAAGTGGATACCATACTTGAGTTTTCCAGTATGGAACTACTAAGATACCCGTAGCTTGGTCTTTCTTATTTTTTGTAAAGTTCTCAAAATTAAAGTAAAAGGAGGGAACGCGTCAAAAAAATCATTGCCCCAGAACACTGGAAAGGCACCCACTGCCGATGCTCCCGGGTCCTTAAACCATGCATAATATTTACAGCATTTTTTGTTGTCTTTCGATGCAAATAAATCCACTGAAGGTATTCCAAAAATTTTAGTTATAGTTTGGAAAGCCGATGGGGCAAGACTCCTGGTCGGCTACCCAATTGTCTTTCGACTTAATATAAGACGCAGAGCCACAAATTTCTACGCTCACACCACTGCCATATTTGTTTACTTAAGCCCCCTAATGGGTGCTGAACGCTGCCCATTCGATTGATGTAAGCTACGGCAGTAGTGTTATCAGCTCTAATTAAAATATTAGTATTTTTGAGATTTGAATCAAAGCATCTAAGCGCTAAATAAATGGCCTTGGCTCGAAATAATTTATATGTTGTAACCTTTCTTGTTCCTCTAGTTNGTGTTGACGTATCATTTTTCTCTATATGCAACAACGTATTGTGACGAGCTTTACATTTTTTGCACGAACGAGAAAGACACTGCATTAACATATGTCCAGGTCGCAAGCAGTTTAAACACAATCGTACTCTTTTTACTTGTTCGATTCTCTCAGACACGGCTAATTTCGTGAAATCCGGGCAATCTTGAATATAATGTTCTTTTTTACAAAACGCGCAACACGTTTTTGTTGTTAAGAAAGACTTCGTTTTTATTTCTTGTTTTGGTTTTATATATTTTTTGACTGCTTTATTTTGCTCTAAAGCTTCTAAAAGGTCTGCACGGTCCTTTAAAAATTGTTTTAGATTGTCTAATGTCGGATTATCGTATGTACTCCTTTTTTGTTCCCATTCGCGGGCGGTTGTACTGTCGAGTTTTATTGTAATTAGATGTATAACTAACGTATCCCAAGTCTCAGTGGGTTCTTTTAATAATTTTAGGGCTCTTAGATGTTTTGTTACGTTATCGATCATTTTTCTAAGCGCTA